GGCAGCATCTGTGGAGGAGAAAACAGAGTTAACATTTTGGGTCCGGTTCTGAAGAAGGGTCACCGGACCCGAAACGTTAACTCTGTTTTCTCCTCCACAGATGCTGCCAGACCTGCTGAGCTTTTCCAGCAACTTTGTTTTTGTTCCTGATTTACAGTATCCGCAGCTCTTTTGGTTTTTAAATAGCTGAATGTTGTTTGTGTGCACATTTTATGAATTTTGTATAATACTAATCATTTATTTTCAGAAAAATATTTTTAATCCTTTTAATTGAATTTATAGTGACTCGAACTCTGGCTAAGTCTCCAATAGAAGTTGAGTAGATGCTAGTGAATAACTTCCAAGGTTGAGATCTGAGGATCTGGTTGATCTGATAAAGGGACCAGGTCAGAAGATTAGGGTTAGAATCTGTCCTATAAAGACATAAGGGTCTGAAATACTGAAGAGTGCCTTAAGCACCACCTACAATGGTGTCGCATGGACTTTCTGGGGAGAACAGTTTCGGACTCTGAAAGCATAAAATGTAAAATCCAGCCCTTCCACCTAAGAGGTCCCCGTCTAAATTATCTATTGCATCATTGTAACCAATAATTAGTTTCTAACTTGCAATAAATTACTACTTTGTAAGATCCCCATAGTAGAAGAGCAGGCCATTCAGCCCATTAAGTCCACGCCAACCTGCCAAAGAACATTCCCCACTGCTACCTTATCCCTGCATTTCCTCATGGCTAATCCACCTAGCCTGCACATCCCTGAACACTGTGGGCAATTTAGCATGGCCAATCCACCTAGCCTGCACATCTTTGGACTGTGGGAGGAAACTGGACCACCCGGAGGAAACTCTCACTGACACGGGGAGAATGTGTAAACTCCACAAAGACAGTCGCCTGAGGGTGGAATCGAACCTGAGTCCCTGGCGCTGTGAGGCAGCAGTGCTAACCACTGAGCCACCGTGCCACCCTCTTCTTCAATACAAGAGCCTCTTCTAGTTAGTTCAGTAAGTGGTTTTCCTCTACCCTATTAGACCAAGCAGCTCTTGTAGAGCCCCTCCAGGAAAGACAATGGAGGAAGCAAACCTGCACATGATGAGGCCACCTTGGTTTGAGTGTCCAAAAGCAAAGACTTAATCTTATCTTGAATTCATGTTTCCTTTAAATAAACTCAGTGGCAGCAGAGTGGGGATGTTGGATTTAGCTGCAATGGCAGTGGAAATGACAATGGTTTGTGTGCTGATTTTTGTTTTGTTTTATTCAGATCACTGGCCTTTGATCTGTCTAGTACAAAAAATGAAGATGAGCCATTTACTGAGCGAAGACGATCCTCCTCTGCTTCTGTAAGTAGCTCATTCATGTGAAACCATCTTTTGTACAGTTTTGTAGCACGTCCGAAAATAATGGAACCAAATGAATGTAACACAAAAGTCTAGTCACAACTGCAGAGTTAGAGGAGAAATGCACAAAGATTGACTGTGACACGTGATAAAATAATAAAATTGACTTGCTCCAATAACTCGAGTATCCTTTTTTAATTAATAAGTCAGATGTCGTTGGGGATAATGAATCTGTTCATAAATATCAATGTCTCATCATAACTGGAATATGACTATATAAAAATATTTAGTTGTTTCTGCACCTTGTGGCTCTTTTTGTAAATTATTTTCAATTACCTGACATAAAATCATATAGCACAGTTGGAGGCTTTTGTGTCTGTCACTAATAGTGTGGTGTCTGAGGTGTTAAAATGTATATTTTAATCTTGGTCTGTGCACATCTCCAATGCTAAACGTAACTTTTTGAGACAGCGTTTCTCAATACGCCATTTTGAATTCAGGGTAGAATTTGAAGGCCATATGGGGCTTGAACATCTGCCTGCTCCAATGATATGATATGCTGTGGCTGAGACCCATTTTTACTGGCTGAAATCCATTTGAGATGAATGTCAGGCTAGGTGGATTAGCCATGTGAAATGAAGCGTTATGGGAATAGGGCGGGGTGCTCTTTGGAGGGTCCATGTGGACTCAATGGACCAAGTGGCCTGCTCCCACACTGTAGGGATTCTGTGATGATTCTATAGCTTTCATTAATAGAGAGATTGAGTTCAAGAGCCGTGAAGTTATGCTCCAGCTATACAAAAGCCTGGTTCGGCCACATCTGGAGTATTGTGTCCAATTCTGGTTGCCTCATTACAGGAAAGATGTGGAAACGTTGGAAAAGGCACAGAGGAGATTTACCAGGATGTTGCCTGGAATGGAGGGAAGGTCTTACGAGGAAAGGTTGAGAGAGCTAGGGCTTTTCTCTTTAGAATGACGAAGGATGAGAGGTGACTTGATAGAGGCGTACAAAATGATCAGAGGTATAGATAGAGTGGACAGCCAGAGACTTCTTCCTAGGGTGGAGGTAGCTATTACGAGGGGGCATAGTTTTAAAGTGAGTGGAGGTAGATATAGGGGAGAGGTCAGAGGTAGGTTCTTTACTCAGAGAGTTGTAGGGGCGTGGAATGCATTGCCGGAGAGGGTAGTGGAGTCGGCCTCGTTATGGTCATTTAAGCTGCTATTAGATAGGCATTTGAATGATAGTATAAGGTAGCGGTGGAGGTTAGATAGACCTTAGGTTTCGGGTAAAAGTTCAGCACAACATCGTGGGCCGAAGGGCCTGTACTGTGCTGTACAGTTCTATGTTCTATGTTCTATGTTCTATGAATAGTTATGCACTGCAGTTTTAAATAACATCTAGTTCTGGTATGCATGTTTCTGATCTAACTAAGTTTTTTGTGTTTCTACAAAATTTGTTTTTTGTCCCTCCTAGATTGTCAAGTCAAATGCCACATTTTACAAACAATTTAAAGACATAAATGAGAATGTGATCGACAGTAAGTTTCTACATCCGGGGTGAATAGGGCTGGGGAATGGGGTTTCCCAGAGATTCTGTAATATGTATCCTAGCTTTGCTTAAATCAATAATAATGTGGAATGGAATGATTTTCCAGATCGATTTATATTTAAGATTATAAGACATAGGAGCAGAAATTAGGCCATTCGGCCCACCGAGTCTGCTCCGCCATTCAATCATGGCTGATAAATTCCTCAACCCCATTCTCCTGCTTTCTCCCCATAACCCTTGATCCCCTTGATAATCAAGAACCTATCTATCTCAGTCTTAAATGTATTCAATGACCTGGCCTCCACAGCCTTTTGTGGCAGTGAATTCCATAGATTCACCACTCTCTGGCTGAAGAAGTTTCTGCTTATCTTCATCCTAAAAGGTCTTCTCTTTACTCTAAGGCCGTGCCCTCGGGTCCTAGACTCTCCTTCCAATGGAAGCATCTTCCCAACATCCACTCTGTCCAAGCCATTCAGTATTCTGAAAGTTTCAATTAGATCCCCCCTCATCCTTCTAAACTCCAATGAGTATAGTCGCAGAGTCCTCAAATGTTCTCATATGTTAAGCTTTTCAGTCCTGGGACCATTCTCGTGAACCTTCTCTGAACCCACTCCAGAGCCAGTACATCCATCCTGAGCGGGCCCAAAACTGCACACAATTCTCCAAACGTGGCCTGACCAGAGCCTTATAAAGCCTCAGTAGTACATCCCTGCTTTTATATTCAAGTCCTCTCAAAATAAAGGCCAACATTGCATTTGCCTTCCTGACTACTGACTCAACCTGCAAGTTTACCTTGAGAGAATCCTGGACTAGAACTCCCAAGTCTCTTTGCACTTCAGACTTCTGAATTTTCTCCCCATTTAAAAAATAGTCCATGCTTCTATTCTTCTTACCAAAATGCATGAGCTCACACTTTCCACGTTGTACACCATCTGCCACTTCTTTGCCCAGTCTCCTAACCTGTCCAAATCCTTCTGCAGCCTCCCCACCTCCTCAATACTATCTGTCCTTCCACTTATCTTTGTATTAAAGTATTGACTAATTTCATCATAATTCACTCATGTTCCTAGATATGGTAGAACCTGTAATCTTTGCGATCTAAGTTCTGAAGGGTTTTATATGATTAGTTATTTAACTAGTTCCTATTTTCCAATAGGTTTCAAGTGTGCCTTGCATAAGGAAGTCCCATACCATGGCAAGATGTATGTGTCTGACAACTATATCTGTTTCTACAGCAACATATTGAAAGAAATAAAGGTACTTTTTTTTAAGAATCTTAAATTAGGTGTAATAAAAACAAAGTGCTGGAGAAACTCAGTAAGTCTAGCAGCACCTGTGGAGAGAGAAACAGAATTAATATTTTGAGTCCAATGCGAGTCTCCTTCAGAACTGAAATGAACTAAAAAGTTACGTTGTTTATGCTAGTTACAAAGGAAGAGGAGGAGCAAGTGGAACAGATGATGAACATGCTTAGTGCAAAAGGAAAAACAGGCAATGATAATGGTGGTAAAAGAGTGATAGGTGTCTAAAATAGGTGTAAATGTTAGCTATTTGAAGGAGAAAATGGGTCTGGTCTGCTAAGAGCAAAGTCAACAAGACATACAATACATGGCCCAGGGACGGTAAAAATGGAGTACGTACAATGGAGGTCATAGTCTTGTAGAGCTCAATATTGAGTCCTGGAGGCTGTAAAGAGCCTAAGCAGAAAACAATGTGCTGTTCCTGCAGCTTGTTTTGAGATTTTGTTGGAATACTGCAGCAGGCCAAGAATGGAAAAGTCAGTGTGAGAGTAAGCTGGTTTATTGAAATGGAAGCAACTAGCAGGTTAGGATCTTTTCCTATAGACAGAGTGGAGATATCCTGCAAAGCGGTAACCCAGTCTGTTTGTTCTCACCAAGGCCACATTGTGAGCAGTGAATACAGTAGACTATGTTGAAAGAAGTTCAAATTTTTTAAATTGGGTGCCTTGAAATAAATACATGATTGTGAGCAAACATCTTGGTCATGATTGCAGAACTGGTTTTGGTTGGATCTAATATTGATTTTGAGTAATGCAATCCTCCATTCTCAGTTAGTGAGATGCTCCATGTGGCAAATGCATTTAACCTCTTGGGAACGAGGAGAAATTTCTAATTCATTAACTTTTTTAAATTGGATAATCTGATCCCTATTTGTTAGTTAATTTTTGAAGAAATTATATCTGCAAGTGGAACATGGTACGAGAGTTACATCTGTTGGAGAATATCATAAAGTAGCAGAATACAGATATTAGACTTTTATTTTCTGTCTGTTTGTATGTTTAGCTCATTGTTCCTGTTGCAATAGTGATTGCATTGAAGAAACAGAATACCGCCCTCCTTGTCCCCAATGCCTTGTGTATCAAGACGAAAGAAGGAGAGAAGGCAAGTTTAATTTCTGATTCCATTCATTCATTCCTTTTAAGTGTAAGAAGTTTCAGATCCAGTGAATCCTCTTTTGATGTTTTAAATGTCAAACTTTATCATTTTCAAACATGCTGGAGCTGTCTGTGTCTTTATCATTTCTCCTACCAGGAAGCCTGTTCATTAAGAAATTTTAAAAAGGAAAATCTACAAATGCTGGAATTCTAAATTTAAAAAGCATCTCCATCTGAAATGAGAAAAGTAGCCAAATAATACTGGTTCTGTGAAACAAACTGTCTGAAACACTAACCTGTCTTTCGGTTTTGGATATAGCTGAATTAATTATGTATTTCTAGCATTTAAACTTCCATTAAGGGTAGAGTATAAATGTTAAAGTAAGTGGTTATGTTGACAAAGTCCCAGAGAACTGTAGGACCGTTCTCTATTTAGAGGGAGGTGACTGGTATTGGTTTAACCTGAGGGTGACCACACCTCGGGCGAGGGACAAGGTTGATAAGGCGCGACATTCATGGTGACATCAGCCAGTACGGAACTTGAACTCGCACTGTTGGCATCACTGCAGCTGCCCAATCAACTGAGCTGACCAATCCCCAAACATTTATCCTACAGCAGTGGCATTATTTAGAACTAGTGCGCTTCAAACCAGTGTGGGAGTATGAATCTAAAGTCAGGGTCTGACCTAATATCAGATTGTGACAGGAATTCATTCCGGGAGTGTGGGTATTGCTGGCAAGGCTGGGACTTATTCACCTGAGAAGTTGGTGGTAGATCATCTTGGACAACTTGCAGCAAAGAATCTTCAATGTTAAACAGTGTCAGCAATTTGTAACAACTTAGCATTTGAGAGAAAACAATGCAGGATAGGTGGGACAGTAGCTACATTAGGCCAGATCCAAACATGTTTCCTTCTGTAACGGTCACTAATGGGTTAGGTTTGTACAGCGTTTATTTCCAGGAAACCAATCTTGCTTTGATTTTTTTTTTTACTTGCAGCATCTGTTCGGATCATTACGGTCAAGGGATGTGACATTTAAAGTTCTGAAGAGCATTTGTACGCATCTCGAGGTATTATTTCAATCATCATTGACTTATTTCATCAAAAATTAAACTCAAGTTCTCATTTTGGAAACCTGCTGTATATGATTCTAATTAGTGCATTTGTTTTACCTGTGCAATTTCTATTACTATAAGATTACTACAGATTAATCATTGAATTGCATTTATTCTGTAAATCTAAATTAACAATGAATTGTACTTTCCAGAATGGAAGTCCCAGTAATAGCCCTCGGATTTCAATAAACGAAAGCAGCTTTAGTACAGACTCCAAAAACTCTCAGGTCAGATATTTAATTGGAGGTACTTATTTAAAATGATTTTAGTAACACTGGTTTAAAGTTTTAGCTGTAAAGTATGTGATAAAATACTTTAATGTAGTTTTTGCCTTTGTTTTGCTATTTTGCAATCTCGTACTGCTGATATTTAAGACAGTACAGGATTCCAGCATAACTTTTAGATGACAACCAGATTCCGTAATAAATTCAGAAAGTAACATTACAATGCTGATTATTAGAGATTCTCTCTGCTATATATGGTAACACAGGTTTTGTTTCTCCGACAGGAGAATCAGTCCAGCTTTGAACAAAAATGCTCAGATCTGAACTCTACTGATTGTGTCGATGCTTCCCCAGAGCCAATACCAAATACAAGTAAGCAACCTTAATATGGATTTATAATGTAAGAGCCAGATAAGTGTCTCCCTATTTAAAAAGGATAAAGCATCTGCAAAGTATTGCATGATCTGGAGGGTCTGGCAGCTGTAATAGAGAGTTTCCTTGAGTGATGTAATGCTATTAACCAATTACAATTTACATATTTATTTAATTTTATATCACCAACATCAACTTTTCAGAATACTTCTCTCCCTCATGTTAGAACAATAGTAAATGTTCATGTCAAAAACATCTTCCTGACACTCCCTTCTGAATGTCATTCATCTGTCCAATAGCCGTCATGTAATCTAGGTATTGAAACAACTTGGAGAAGTTTGTGTAAGAGCTGGAATTTTTGACCATTTACCAGAAGCCTAATCTTCCATGATCTAGCTGGCTTCCGGCTCAATATGTTGAACTTCACATTTCATTTCTTTTCAAAGTATGAGAACAGGAAAGTTAGCTTGGGCTTCTTTCATGTCAAAAATGTCAACATATGTAGGTGTTAAACATTTAATTCTGTTGAAGGAGAGCATATGTTCCAATAAGGATTGCGCTGTGTGTATGTGTGTTATAAATAGTTCCAGTGGGTGAGACTTATAATAGGAGTGTACACTTGTAACTACCTTAAATTTACACAGTTGAACACTTGTCCAGGAGCGGAAAGGAGTCCCTCCAGCATTTGAAACAGCCATCAACACTCTCCCTGGCTGCTGCAATTTTGCAAGTGCTTGGTGCTCTGTATATTTGGTTCAGATTGGTAAAGCTTACAGCAAGTTGTGCAATAGATTGTTGAAGCACCTTTTGAAATAGACAGCATACAGCATGGAAAAGAGCCCAAATCATCCATGCTGAACAGTTTTTCTGAACCGAACTGAACTGAACTAGTCCCATTCGCCTACGTTTGGCCCATATCCCTTTAAACCATTCTTATCCATGTCCAAATATGTTTTAAATACTGTAATTCTACCTGCCTCTACCCACATTTCCTCTGGCAGCTTGTTCCATATACTTTGCTTTTAATCAAGAGGACCCATTCTCTCCCTTTCACACCTTAATTTTTCTCCATTTTGTTTTTTTTTTGTCTTTTGTCACTTACTGCCCTTTTGTCTTTTACACTGCAGGCCTCTACGCCACTTGCTGTCTTGTTCCTCTTCTGCCTTTGTCAAGAATATATTTTAAAAAGAAAACATTTTCCAACACCTTTTTGTTTTGAAGGGGAGTCATGTTGGACTCAAAACGTTAACTCTTTCTCTTGCCACAGATGCTACCAGACCTGCTGAGTTTCCTCTCATATTTTCTGTATTTCTTTCAGATTTTCAGCATCTGCAGAAATTTGTTTTTTATTTAAGTCCGTGAACGTTGTGCAATCTGTTTGCTAATTATGGCTGTCATGGTTGAACAGAGTAAGGTGTGTGTGAGAAGCTTATGGCAGTAGTAGGTATATGAAGATAAGACAAAATATGAGAGTCCTGATTGGTGATTGTGGATGTGGTGACGTAAGCAATATCTGAAGGTATCAGTGATGTTGGTATGGCATTTGAAGATGTATTCGCCGACCTTGGCCACTCATGATGTCATTTAATTTCTTGTGGCACTGTTTTTTTAGTTTTGATTTGACCTCCTCAGCAATGGCAGCCTCATCTTTCCAAATGTGTGTCTTAATGGAAGCTTTTATGGAAGTCTGAGAATCCTTTAAGCCCACAGTCTCCAGTTTTGTATCACTTGCCAATATTTCTCAGGTTAGAATGCACTTCCTGTACAACCTGCTCCAGCCGCAATGCACTTCCTGTATGAGAGGTATGGACCAGATTACTCGCTATATTGACCTCCCAATATATCCAACCAATCAAACAGGATAATTGGTGTCTGCTGCATGTGAATTCAAATTAGTAGGCAACACAAATTTGGTGGTGTACTGACTGTATTGCAATAATTTGGAGGCTATCTAACTTTGACCTTGTCCGTATGTCTGTGTCAAATGCTGTTTGAGAGTCACTTCTGTAAAATGCCTTGGGATGCTTTATAGGGGAAAGTTACTGTTTAAATGCAAGTGTTTAATGCGTAATGGCTACCATGAGCCTTTGTGCCAATTGTGATTCTTTTCTGCAGCCTCGTTGTGTCTTTCAATGAGTTTTCTCATCAGGCTCCCTTGAACATGTGAAAAGCTGAGTAGAAGAGGAGGACCATCAAAAGGCACCAGAGCATTTTAAAGATCAAGAGATGTTCTCTGTCTATTTTCTGATACTAGGCTATCTGAACCTCCAAAATGCGTTACACTTCTCTTCCTAGACAATAAGTACATTCCAGAAGTTGGTTTTGGCAGCTAGCAAAGTTATGCAAATGAGAATACCTGATCAACTGGTTTATTGGAACACGTTGAAATGAGCACATTATTATGCTTTATTTGAAAGTGTGGCTGAGTGATCATCAATCAGCAAAACGTGATTATCTGTACCCACCCAGATTCCAACCATATTTGTTTGCATTGTTACTGTTGCCTGGCCACATTATCAGAGAATTTTCTTTGGAGTGACTGGAGCAGCAGTCATATATGAAGCTGTGTTATCCCCAGTAAGAAATCCTACCCTTAGTATGGATATGTTCCCTTGCCCCTGTATAGGGTTCACACAGACAGTGCTGCTAGCTGTGTCTTTATCAATGCTCTTAGAGATTTTTCCGAGTGCTTCAAGTATTTTTTTTTCAATCTCCTTTATCCCTACTTCCCACTGTCTTTGTCTGTCTAAGTTTCGTTTTATTAGAATTTTGTCTGCGCTGTTAATGTTCTCTTGACACTTGATCTGCTCTGCACCTGGATTTGTAAATAGTGATGCAGATTAGATGACTTGGGAAATCTTAAGAATTCTTTTCACATTACCTGTCTTGCAGTTTTAAGTTGAAAACCAACTATTATAACAGTGTGTTTGATGCATTTTACACACTTGTCTTGTAAGATCCTGTGGACCACAATTCTAATTTGGTCACCTTGCCATTAATATATAGGGGCTTTATTGGATTTATTTTCATTCCAAGACCATTAGAACATATTGCAGATACTGTGGGTTGAATTCTTCTTCAGTTGTGTGGATTCAAACTGTGGTGGGTTCTATATTACTCGCCCAATCTGCTCTGCCACACTTCCCAAGCTGGCAAAGTATAAAGGTGCCCATATTTCATATTATTTTCTTGCTTAAGTTCAAGGATTAATGTAAGAGACTTGGAAATGCAGGGAGAAAACTACAAATGAGGGAATAAGACTCTTTGCATCTTTTTATGGGTGCGTGTGAGCATGTCTTTTCATTTTTTTATAAGGTCTTTAAAATCAACCAGTGATAAATAATCATTGACATCTTTCAATGATAAACCTCTGGGAGATTTTGAAGCTAACCATCTTTAAATATGTTTAGGATAGAGATTGGTAGCTTTATGATTATCAATGGCATATAGCATTTTGGGGATGGGGTGGGTAAAAAGCATTGAATAGCAAGGTAGGCTTGATGGGGTGAATAGCCTGTTCCTGTTCTGAAGATCCTGTCACTCTGCTTTTCCACATTTTGATTTAAGCTAGGAGCAGCATTGTTATTATTCGTGAAACTAATTTCACAGACCCTGAGAGAGTACAGGGAGATGGAGGTGGTGCACTTGAATCAGTCACCCCTGCAGTACACCAGATCACTGTACAGCTCATTCCATCTCTTGCAAATGTATTTTTTTTTTTCCTTTTCTTCCCCTTCCTTCACTCTGTTCCTTACAAACATGCCGTCTGTAGCATCTTCTGATTCTGATGAAGGGCTGCTTTTGAAATGTGGGAGAAACTAGAACTAGTAAAACATCTTCCGTTTAAGAGAAACATGAGAATCTTTTTCTGAGCGGATCGTAAGTCTGTGGAATTTGCTTCCCTACAAAGTACTGGAGGCAGGGCCATTATGATTTTTATGGCAGAGATAAATGGACTTTTGACAAACATGGGAGCCGAAGGTTAACAGGGTAGGGGTGGCTGGTGGAGGGTGGTGGGTACGGTTAGGGATGGGAATGAGGATTGGAAGCCAAAGTTGGATCAGCATTATCGTACTGAATGTTGGAGCCAGCTTGTGGGGCCAAATGGCCTACTCCTGCTCCCTGTTTGTACCTTCATATTTTTCTTTACAGATTGTGTTTGAATTGTTGAATTTTTTCAGCATTTTTTGTCATTTTCAGCATCTGGTTTTATGGTGAAATTCCTTTCATACAACAGGATCCCTAACCATGTAATTTTCCTTTTGTGTACCCACTGTCCTCCCCCACCTCTTCTCACAGATTTTGCTGACACAGCTAAGAATGGGACCCTTCTTTGTAAGGAGAACAAAGAACAAGAAGGTCAGCCTGAAGAAAGAACTTCATGCTACATTGGTAAAGATCATATTACACACACCTAGAATAGTGGAAACAAAGTGACATTTCTGCTGTATGTTGAACATGAAGTGATTACGTCTCTGTTTTGTTTGGGCATAGATAATTGCTTAGCAGCAAGTCACCTACCCACTCTTTAATCAATTATGAGGCACGTACAGTGCAAAAACCAGAAGGAGAAAGTAATCTAGTATTGTAACTGACTGATTCAAATGACTTTCATAGATAATAGGGAAGTAAAGCTGTGCAATATGAATGTTCTTCTGTTAAAATGAATTAAAAAAGCTTCTATATTCAATTAATTTTCACCTGTAGTGGGACACAAAGTGGCTGAAATAACCAGCTCCCTGACATAATTCCAGATAAACTTATAAATATTGGACTCGTGATTCATTGATAATACTACACAACTTCAGATCAGTAGTGTTGTATAAAGTAGTGTTGCTTAGAGTGAATGAAAGCACAAGGAATACTGTGACGTTGACAGTCTGTGGATAAATTGTATCCATCTCTGAGACACCATTTTTCTCATTCGGTGACAACAGGTTCTCTGATTTTGTTACATTTTCCAACAACAGGGTCTATTTAACCCAAATCTAAACATTTTCTTACCAAAGATCGTGTTTTAAAGAAACAAAGTGTAAAATTTAATTCTCAAATCATCCATGCCCCTCTGTACTTTCTTAAAAATGATTTGGGATAAACTGAATGACCCCATTTATTGATGACCTACTAGGATTTCCAAATTAGTAAGGTGCAATCATGCAGTAGCTTCCCCATTAGGCAGATAAAGGTAACAAACAGGTAGATTATCTTCACATTTTTTGCTAAAAAGGAAAAACCAGGAGAGCAAACTCAGCTGAACACTTAGACTCTTCCCTGTGGTTGATTGCACAGCATTGGGAACACATCGTTCCTTCTCTCTCTGAGGGAAATATTTGAATGTAAGAGAAAGAGTAATGAGGGGTCGAACAATGTGTATCTTGACTAGCAAAACAAAACATGTGGAAAACTTCAGTGACTTTTTGGTTGAATAGTGGCTTTGATGAAAGATCACCCAGATATACCCAACAAGGCCGTCTTTCACCATTCAAAAGTAGGAAACCAAAGTTGGTTAATTCCCATTTTCATGCTTTGTTTGGGTACCTTCTGAAAGCTCATGTTTGCATGAGAGATGAGCAAACTATTAAAGTTTGAACTTAAATAGGACACCAGAGCAAAGAGAAACTCTTCTTTACATAAGCCATATGTTACAGGACTGCCTCTTACATTACAGAGGAAGGAAACTCAATAAATTACAAAAAGATCTGGATTGTAAAACAGTGAAGATATTCTGCATTTTCAAATGATTTCAAGTCACTTTTTTGTCTTTTCAGCACAGTGATGATTATCATTTCCCCATATGGGTAGTGTATTTTTAGGGAAAATGCTATTTTCGAATTAAAATCATAGTTTCTGTGAGATATTGTGCTGTGATTCTCTTTACTAACTCACTCTCAAGCATTCTATGTTTACTATACCGTGTTGCCATTCATTCATAAAACTGCGTTTTTGTAGTATGTTTTACTCTTACAAGATAAACTAAAGTAAACGTCCCTTTCCAGGCTGCCAACCCATTACACCTTTCAATTCTTATCGGCCCCATGCTGCAAGCAGCGTTTAGACCTGTTTCTGTATCAAAGGCTACCCCTGAATAAGTGTTAATACTGTAACCTACTCGGAACAGTGCGATCCCTGCCATCGTGTCTCCATAACTCACTTGAAACTATGGAAAGATTATAGTATTAGTCAGCCCTTACCAATCATCTCTTGGGACTTAAGTAGGCTGCAGGACATCAAAGAGTTTCCTCCACCAGCATATCCTTACAGTCTGCTGCTTTTTATCTCTGAAATTTCTTTATACACCACCTATTTCTATAACACTATACTACCTATTTCTAACTTTAATTTAGGACTACCATCTTGTACTAACATACAGGTTTATACTTTTTAAATACATATTAAGTAGGACCGCTACCCCGCTTTAGAAACTTACTATCAAAACCACGCTTCTATAAACCTGCATGAATGAATGTGTAAGAACTGTCAAAAACTGGCAATAGTAGATGAAATCTCACAACCCAGCTGCGGGAGATCAGATTAATATCCTCTATACTTTTATTTAGTACACGTATAATTTATCACTTATTTAGATGATATAGGTCTAGTATTTATACTAAGATTACTAACTTTAAAGACAAAAGGACTAACACCTCTTAAATAATGCAAACTCAGACCAGACAGACATCTAATCCCCTCAGGAGTAACAGCCAGCATTTAACAAGGGCTTAAACAATCTCCTGCTTCCCCAGGACAGATGTCATGCAAACTTGTGTACAATAGATACAACTATGTGACCCCATAGTGCTAAAATTTTATGAGAAAACTGTATAAAAGAGGCTACAGTAAAACTGTACTTTGGATTCCATCACCACCACGAACCGTGCCACTGCGCATGCTCAATAAAGAGGCTATTTTCACCACTCCCTGATCTCGGTCACTATTGAACACAAACCCACATTACAAGCAATTGTTGTTGACAAGACTTTTCTTTCTACTTTGTGAAAATTAATCTTTTATGTGCCTTTGCTCACAGTAATCTGCAAGGTTTGCATTTTCTCATCCTGCAGGTAATTCCTGGTTCCAGAAAGTGATGAAAAGGATGAAATCATTTGTTGCATTTCATGAATCGACCACTTTTAACACACTCATTATCGTCTATGTGATGCTGTATGTATTATAAATCTTAATAAATAGAACCATTTATTAGGCTTTGCAAAGTTTAAGAGAACGTCCAACTTTTTTCCTTTGAGAAGAGAATTGTTGTCTGGTAACTTTTTTTATAAAAGATTTGAAAACTAGCAGAACCTATGATGTAGATTTTAACCTGGGCTTCTCACAAAACGGTCCAAAATTGCTGGTGCTGTACATTCTCCAAAACAGATGATGATTGGGTGACCAAAGTGCTTGCCAGTTTCAAATGCACTTCTGTATCTTCGGACATACATAGGACCTCAGTTATTTTGGAATAGAACTAGCAGTTCAATCACCAAAGAGAACGTAGCTGTGTTTCCATTTATTTTGTAGATTAAGCAGGAGTAGAAGTATTCCTCCAATCTGTACAAAACTTGCCTCTTGTCCTGCTGCATTGGGTCTCTGTTGACCCCCAAACCAGACAGGCAGTTTTCAGGCCAGGCTGCTCAACATTGAGCTGTCTTTCAGTTGGTGGATATATTTTCTCATTTTCTGTCTATGGTCCATTGAATGAATTGTCATGAGGTGCAGCCCATGAACTGGGCCTCGTGTTAGCACTCAGGTGGTCAGTTGACAGCGTGATAGTTGGAAACTAGCCTTTTATTTCTAAATTGACACAGCATTTATTTCAGGGGGTAATGCCTTTTATACAGACTGTGCAGAAGTAACTTACTGGAGCATTTTGTAATGGAGCATTGACCAACATATTTTAATTGTTACCTAAATGCTAAGATTAAACTACATAAAGGAAATAATTGTGGTATTCCTTCATAATGCTTTAGAATACATTGTGCAAAAGCAATGTGCTCTGTTTTCTGATGTGGAATAATACTTGCAAACAAGGATTGATGATCTGCGACGTTGTCACTGCAAACTGTTTCAAAATAGTTTACCAGCAAATTATTGGGAAAAGTTCTGTGCAGGTTCAACCTCGATCCTTGTTAATCTGTTTTAATTTTTCAATTGCAGAGTACTACTATTGCTGATCTCTTCCGGTTACATTGGCTTCAGAATTGTGGCTCTAGAGGAGCAGCTGATGTCTATGGGGGCCTGGCCAGAGCTCCATACACACAATCAGTAAGTACATTAACTGGTCAGATCGAATTGATTGCCTCTTTGATAGCCTTGTACCATGCTTGTAAGCTATATAGAGCATTCACATGGAGCATTCACAAGCTATATGGAGCATTCACTCCTTACGGTAACTGATACATCGCCCCCACACATCTAATTGGTAACCACCTCTTCATAGATGTGCAGACTGGTGACAGTACCAGGCCCGTTACTTAAAAAAGACATATATAAAGTGCTTTATGTATGGTCTGAAATGTATATGTTGCTGAAAAATGAGATATTTTACTGGAATGTTTTGTCTTGCCCTCATCAAGAATAATGCAAGAATGGCAAATTTTAAATCTCAATCATTTATATTTCAAAGTAGAATACTGATGATTAGCTCATGGTGGGTCTGCTGAAGGCGTTGCCATGGAGAAAGTATTGGCAAACTCTTACGGGCTCCCAAGCTCTCTGATAAGTTAATGATTCCAGGCTTTATCATATTATTTTTGTTTGCGGAGAGTGGGTACCTGTGACTGAATGTAATCATAGATCATAGAATCCCTACAGTGTGGAAACAGGCCCTTCGGCCCAACAAGTCCACACCGACCCTTGGAGCATCCCACCCAGACCCATCCCCCTATAACCTACCTAAGCTACACATCCCTGAACACTATGGGCAATTTAGCACAGCCAATCCACCTAGCCTGCACATCTTTGGACTGTGGGTGGAAACCAGAGTACCCAGAAGAAACCCACACAGACACGGGGAGAATGTGCAAACTCCGCACAGATAGTTGCCCGAGGGTGGAATTGAACCCGGGTTCCTGGCGCTGTGAGGCAGCAGCGCTAACCACTGAGTCACCGTGCCACCCAAATGTAATATGTGTCAAGCAATTGCATGTGAGCCACTTTGCAAGTTTGGCTGTAAGCGTAGCTATCATCACACTCAGGATTAGTACAAATCTATTAGAAATATCTTCATTTAGGATTTTTATCACATAATTGTTCCTCACAGAAAGAGTGAATGTGAAATAGATTAGCAGACACAGGTGAGAGCAATGTAATCATTTTGTATGCCAGCAGAGCTTCAGAGACTTTCAGGATGGATGAATTGAAATGGGCTGAATGAGATTTCACACCCAAGATTATTTTGTGATATCTGGAATGGTGGCTTGTATTCAAGACCATTTCTGTCCTCCAGCTGAAAAAGATCAGCATGTGGACAAGGTTGATTAAAATTCAAGATATGTTTATAAATTGTGCTGCATAAAGTAATGAACATGTCTCATGTGAAAGCCAAAGTAGTAATGTTTGAGACTTTTGATTTCATCATATCGCTTTACACAGAAGTAAAGCAGACTCCTATTGCCAGTTCCATTGTCATTTTCCTGTAATTGATGTAGTTTATGCCTTCAGAAGTAAAGCCATTCAGTTGAATAGTTCTGTTGGTTGCATTCCAAAAGAGCATGTTAGAGCTTGCAAAACTGAAGATTTTATTACTAAAGCCACTCCTACATACCATACTTTCCGAGAGTTACACCCTATTTATTGTAACATATGTACAATATGGAAGTGTTTACTTTGACCTGGAAAAAGCCTCGGTTTAACCCCTCATTAAAAGGCAGAGCCTCCAACAGTGTGACACTCCCTTAGTTCCACACTGAAATGTGTGCTGAGGCTTTGTGACCAAGCCTGTGTTGTTGGACATGAACCACCTGACTGTTAGGGGCTCTTCCTACCCCCCACTCTGCCTTTGTATGTGTAATTTAAATAGTTCATACATAAAAGAGCATGACAACTCCTTAACTAGTAGTTGCCCTGCATCCAATTGATTCAGACAGAACATGAGTATCTCAGTCATGCTTGATTTAAAGTCAAATGACTTTGTCATTCATGTTATTGGTCAAATCCAGTCACAGTAAATCTACTCAAATAAATCCAATCTTAATTCAAAGATTTAGCTTATGTCTATTTTTTTAATCACTGGAATTGCCTAGTAATCTTAAACAGATGGTTATTGGAAATTAGGAATTCAGTTCTAAAAGAAAGCATTAAATTATTAATAACATGTGTTTAAACACAAACTTGCATTTTATATGGGACATTTAATAACCTAATAGACTCGTCCAATCTAATTTTCCTGATGGAGTCAGTTATTATTCTTCAGGATGAAATCTACACCACAACAAATACCTGCTAGCTTTGTGCCACACCTCCTCCAATGTAAAGAAAATACTTGGTTGCCCGTTGTTAACTATTCAACCATTGGATGCCTTCACCCTAATATTTTAATGAGTTTTCAGTTTGGTTTTGAACTTGCCATAGTCATGCATACACAAGCCTCACTAACTGAAGGGGCTTCTGGATATTTCCACTAACTCTCATTCCTTCTTCTAAAGTACTCCTGAGTGATTTTATAAAAAATATAGTCCTATTTATTTCTTGCTTTCCTTTATCAATAACATGACCCATGCTGCAGTGTTCTCTCCTCTTCCTCCTGCCCCACCCTGTCTTTAAGCTACCATACTATCTTAGGATGGAAAAATAAAGACTCCAATCTCTTCACATTTAAACTAAAATAATTTGGACACAATCTATCACTTTATATTAAAAATACACCAATGCCAGTGTAGACAACAGTTTATCACAAATGAATGACAATTTTTTTTACTATTTCTGACCAGCAGAATGGAATTTAAAAATGCATGCTTTTGCAAAACAACAATGCAAATCAAATTGTTGAAGACAAACTTGTGCTCTTTAAGTCCTAATGCAGGAGATGCATTTGAAGCTCTTATTTAAAATTCAAATTTACTGTGCTTTCTTTAAAAATTGGTTTTGTTTTAAATTTTTAAGTGCTACGCACTTTCATCTGCAGTCAATTCAGCTTTGGAAGATATGAAACTGTGTTGATTGTTAAGTGAAATCAGTTTCCAGTAATGGCTTTGTCTTCCATTACAAAATTATCATTCTTTGGAAGTATGATGTGTGCAGCTGAAAATAAATTAAAGTAGAAAAATCTGACTCACTGTTGACTGGAAGCAAACATTTAGCCAAGATGATAAACATTTATTACTTTTCTACAGAATTCCCATATGAGTGAGTTTATATGTTGTATATGTACTGTCTTTTAGAGTCGTACAGTCACGCAGCATGGAAACAGGACCTTCGGTCCAACTCGTCCATGCCAACCAAATTTCCCAAACTAAACTAGTCCCACTTGCCAGCCCATCTCCCTCTAAACTTTTCCTATTCATGTACCTGTCCAAGTGTCTTTTAAACGTTATAACAATACCTGCATCCGCCACTTCCATTGGCAGTTCATTGCACATACAAACCACCCTCTGTGTGAAAAGGTTGCCCCTCAGGTCCCTTTTAAATCTTTCCTTTCACCTTAAAACAATGTCCCCTAGTTTTGAACTCACCCACTCCAGGGAAAAGATCTTTACTATTCACCTTCTTAATGCCCCTTATGATTTTATAAATCCCCATTAGGTCACCCCTCAACCTGCCAGGCTCCAGTGGAAAAAGTCCCAGCTTATCCTTATAACTCAAACCCTCCAGTCCTGAACCCTCTTCAATTTAATGAAAATATGCTGTTCCATGTGGTCACATGAGCTGTGAATTAATAAAGCTTGTTTAGCCCTTTTTAAACTTGTATGATTTGAGTTAAAGTGGACCAGCAGTCAAGATTTATTGAAACAGGTTAAATGTTAGTTTATTGCAAGCTATTATTGAATGCTCTTCAATAATAGAGTTAAATCCAATTAACAAATTACAGGAAGCAAGATGAAAGCAAATACAAATAAGTCAAAAGAATGTTTCCTGAGGAGAATATCTTTGGTATACCACTGGGGCCCGTTGCTTAGGTTCCTTCTTGTTGAAATGATGAGGTTAATCCTTGAAAGATAGATCCAGCAGCTGCAAAGTCTTCGTACTTCTGGATAGATGGAGCATGCTTGCACAGGTAGACACAGCAGATAGAGAAACTGAAAGAGAGACAGGTTTCTTGTATATTTGACATTTTTGGCTGAATTTGGTTGATCCCTGAGCAAACATGTTCTTCTACTGAGCTGAGATATCTCCAGTTTTGAGGTTGCTGCTTCAGACTTTGCTGAGGAGTTCTGATTTTAAAATGGAGGTTCACAACTATATACAGATCAAGTGGCTGCTATGATAACTTGTGCTGATACATTGTCGCATAGAACAAGCCGTTATGCTGGAAATCCCCCTGGGGGTTTCTTCTAGTTTCCTGCTTGTTGACTGAAAAGTATTGATTTCTCACACCAGTGAAAGAAAAGCCATTGTATTGTCCAGAGGGGTGATTGAATTCCAGTGGTTCTGTTTTGTAATGACTGTACCAGCCAGTCTTTTAGCCAGCTGGCATGAATGAACGGGGACAATCATGTGACTCGTGGCAGCCATTTTTCTATGGCATGTCAATTATTTAAACAGCCAGAGGAGGTGCTATAGTGGTCATTACACTGGATTAGTGCCTAGAGTAGTACTGTAGGAGGTGGGTTTAAATCCACTTATGGCAGTTGGTGGAATTTCAGTTCAACTCACGAAGGTTTGGAATATGAACCTAGTCTCCATAATGTTGCCATAAAATTACCTTCAACTGTGGCAGGAAAGAACACATCTGATTCAATAATGCCGTAGGGAAGGATATCTGCCATCTTCACTTGGTCCACCCTACATGTGACTCCAGATTCACGGCAATGTAGTTTAACCGTGAAACGTCTTAGAAAGTCACTCAGTTCAAGGAAGTAAGGGATGGGCAACAAATCGTTGCCAATCACGCCCACGTTCCACGAAAGAATAAAGGAAAAAATGTCAAACCATTCTATAGACAAAATATGATGTTATTCACTTAGTTGTAACTCAAAAATATTTTGGGAGATGAATTTCAAATGGCTAATTGCTCTAGCTATGAAGAGAGGTTGAGTAGATTAGGATAATTTACATTAGAAAGATGGAGGTTGAGGGGGGACCTGATTGAGGCCTACAAAATCATGAGAGGTATAGACAGGGTGGATAGCAAGAAGCTTTTTCCCAGAGTGGGGGACTCGATTACTAGGGGTCACGATTTCAAGTGAGAGGGGAAAAGTTTAAGGGAGATATGCGTGGAAAGTTCTTTACGCAGAGGGTGGTGGGTGCCTGGAACGTGTTGCCAGCGGAGGTGGTAGAGGCGGGCACGATAGCATCATTTAAGATGTATCTAGACAGATACATGAATGGGCAGGGAGCAGAGGGATACAGATCCTTGGAAAATAGGCGACGGGTTTAGATAGAGGATCTGGATCGGCGCAGGCTTGGAGGGCCGAAGGGCCTGTTCCTGTGCTGTAATTTTCTTTGTTCTTTGTTCTTTGACATATGCCTACCAGCATTTTTAAAATTTGTTTAAGTACCAGACCACAGTAAGATTGCTATGTTAAAGGATTAAAGAGTTCCCTGTATCTGACTCGGTGGTCACTGATGTATCTTTAACAACAACAGTAAAAACAAGCAGAAATTGCTGGGAAAGCTCAGCAGGTCTTCAGCATCTGTAGAGAGAAATCAGAGTTAAGAAAAGTTAACTAAGATTTCTCTCCACAGGTACTGCCAGACCTGCTGAGCTTTTCCAGTAATTTCTGTTTTTGTTTCTGATTTACAGCACCAGTAGTTCTTTTGGATTTTATTTACCCATGTATCTTTCCTTTTGTAGATATAGAAGAACATGAAGCTAGAAGAATAACTGTGAGCAGCACCATCCGCGTGTCCAAGGACTCCGATTTGCTCAGTTGACTCTACAACAGGATTACGTGAATTTCACTGGTTCACACAAAGTCTTCGGGCACCGGGGATAATGTGTCTTTGTTGACTGTCAAAAAGAGTAATAGTCTAAACTTTCTTTTTAGTCTGTAGCAAACTAAATGTTTTAGTGGTGCCCTCTTTGTAAAGAGGGGGCACTTGTCAGAAATTTGATTATTTTGTGGCAAGTACCACCTATCAATTCTAGAAAAGTGGAAACATTTGGAAATAGTGCAATGATTTTAAGTTGTACCAGCCAGTAAACTCAGGATTTATCACTGATTTGCCTCTCAGGTGACCAGCTGCTACTGTAAGATGATCTTGTGAACTAGCTAGCATTGAAAGTAACCTTGAACCTTTTTGATTTGAAAATTTCATGCCGTGAACAATGTTTACACACACTGTCGTATGAAAAAACAGTCCATGACTTGCATGATTGGTTTGATGTAGTACAAGGCAGAAGACACAATCCAAGCTACTTTTCAATTTTAAGCATTAGGCACTCTGTAAGTTGGTCTTTAAGATAAATGACTGCAGAATGGTATAACTGGAATCTGTGTGCAATTAATGAGAGCTGACTCAGTTTATTCTGATTTAATGTCATTGTGTTTTGACAGTGTAATTTGTGCAGTACTCTATCCCTGCAGTGTATAAAATTTAAAAAAGGACAAGTGTTATAGCTGGTAGCAAAAGACTGTGTAGGTGTAAACAAGAAACTGTTACAGTTTTTCCAACTCACATGAAAGATTTTATATGCAGTACTGTCTTCATTCAGAAATATCACAAAAATAAATAACTCTTTTATGAGCTGAGCTTCAGTGGTTTGTTTCTTTGAAACAGGCCATGCAATATTTTGATTATCTTTACACTGCAATATTGTACACTTTAGACCTACCCTGTATTAAATTTGCTATTTATGTTGCATACTTACTTAGACAACAACATTCTACAGCAGACAGGCCTCACCAGATGGAGATTTATAATCCCAATCACATGCTTTACTACTTTATTACTATCACTCCTGCTCCTCTCTATTGCCTTTTGTTCTGTTATCGTTTAATTTCTTCTTTCCCTTCCTCTCACTCTTGCCCTACCCCAGACCTTCCCTTTTCCCTCCCCACCACCATCTTTCCATATCATCGCATTTCTACCTTTTATTCAATTCTAAAGCTCAGTCAAATTCACCTTGAAGCATTTACTCTCTCTCCCTCTGCGGATGCTGCTGGAACTGTTGGATATTTCCAGAATTTTGTTGTTCCTGGTTTTCAGCATCCACAGTATTTTGCTTTTAATTTTTTACACGTTTTGTTCTTAGAATGTATCCACAATATATTCCCCTCTATGGATGATAATACAAAAATACGCATAGGAGATAAACCTTTAACTTCGACTGTAGTGTAACATAGACATTGAGCTGCTACTTGTCGAAGCTAAACATTCTAACATTGATACACTCCCTGTCAGTGAGGACACATGGTTCTCCATAATTATCAAAAGCAAGACATTTTTACAACAGGAAATCTAAATCTACAGTCAAACCCAAACCGCAAGCAGCAATGAATCCAAACCAAAAGGATAAAAGCAACAATTAATGGAATTATACTGCATGTTCATCTTTATCCTAGAAGATTTGTTCTTAGTGAATCATTTTCTAATTAATTAAGTTAACCTAACCTTTGTGAAATGGCGTCTGATTTACTGTGTACTTTCAATTTTATCATAATTTATTTTCTATTTATAGCTCATGGCATGTAAATAATTGAGAGTTTAATGAACTCAATCTGACAGCATATTATCTATTGAATTTATTACATTGTCAGGTGTTGTGCATCTTTCATTTTAATTCTATAAACTAAAGAGACTTGTAATTTGCAGCATGTTGTAATTATTTGTATACTGAAATGTTCAGAATTGTACAATCCTTTTATTATTTTGTACTTATTTTAACGAGTGTCTATAACCATGTTGAGAGTTATGATTGTTCATTTTATTTGTATTTTCATCACAATTCGGCATATATTGCCATCATGATTTTTCAGTATCTATTTATCATTTATTACAGATTTCCTAGTCCTTCATTTTATCAAGACAAAGCAACCTGGCATGGTGCTTAAGGGACAGGTGTCAAAGGGTGTGGTAGATTTGTTTTCGTTCCATTAAAAGCCGGTTAGTGTCATCTGAACCTTGTGTATAGTAACCATATATCTTACTTTTTTCTGATGAAGGGTCTAGGCCCGAAACGTCAGCCTTCCTGCTCCTATGATGCTGCTTGGCCTGCTGTGTTCATCCAGCTCTACACCTTGTTATCTCTTACTCCCACATGTCATTTAATTGTTTCGGTTTCTCGCACGGACTATTGAAGCAGGGAAAATATGTAGAACAGAAGGCTTTTGGAAGTGCCTCAACGTTAGTTTCAGTAAGAAGAATAGTCACGAGCTGACGTGACATATATTTTCATTAATAATTTTCTAAAATGACAGTTATGTGGGTATGTTCACAGCATGCTCTCTCAAATAGAGCTATGACGTTTTTTCCTCCTTTTTGAGTTTGTAGAAAGACGACATTGTTCCTTGCATTTATGAATTGCCCTCAGTCCTAAATGCACATGACAGCCAATAAACCTCTGCGGGTTGATTTCTACAACTATTAGTTTACATGCCAAAGACTCAAAAGGAGGAAACATCTAAAGAATGCAACACAAAGCAGCAGTAGTGTTCGGGAATAATGCGGAACAATTTCCCACTACAGATTAGCAGTAATGAACTGACGTAAGGAATACAGTTTGTGTGGAGGATGATAAATATAAATCTGACCTTATCTGAAAAATTACCCAGATTCTCCTTCAAACAATAAAGCAATCTCTCTCTCTCTCTCTGGAGCATTTTCACCAATTTTCATTGGCCAGAATGGTGCAAACAAGAAAGATATAAATGACGCAGGAAACCTGTCTCTTTACCTGATTTCAAATCATTAATGTTACACCAATTCTGTGCTCTCAACATCTCACAGGAGAGTTATTGGAATGATTAGGAAAATGTGAATATTTTAAAAACTGTTGGTTTTTCTGAAGTAAAACTTGTCCATTATATTTGTGTTTATGCTAGTAAGAATATACTATCGGTATTTTAATGTATTTGAGTAATGAGATTCTTTGGATTTAAAAAGGTGCTCTTGTTTTGCTTGAAGAGGAATGTTGGAATGATTGTATCAAATCTGCACTAATTTGTATGCCATTTCTGTGAAATGGTTTTTGTAAACTAAAATATAAATAAAACTATAAATTATTAGCTTGTTGTTTTCTCTTATTTTGTGTCAGCATTTCTACCTTGGTATGACCAAGATGGCAGGAATGCACTGTCTTTCTCTAGTCTCAATACTCCATGGGTCACAATGTACAATATTGTAATTGTTTTATCCAGTTCCCTAAACAGTCAATTCTGTGCTTTCTCTTAGACTTAACTTGGAAAAAACCATTAACTAATTAATTTTTATTAGATTATTCTTTTTATAGTAAATGAAGATGCAGAACTAGTTAACACAGTTTGTAAATTAAAGATTATAAATGTTTACCCCTTTAAATAATCTAGGCCAAAACACTGCAAGTAAAGGAGGTGGAGGTGAGAGGTCGCAGCAAACCGATTTCACTCTGCAGACATTCACGTCAAAGAAAAACAAACTTTAGGCAAATAATTGCAAGTTCTTGAAGGAGAGGAGATTATGTGGTGTGTTCAGATGGCTGTCGATCTGGTTCCCTGCAACATAGACAGTAACTAAACATGTATAGTTGTCTGGGGTCTTGGCAGGTGCAGCTTGCTCAACAAGTACTGTACTGTGAAATCTTCCAGATATTGTTCAAAAGGACAATTGGATTTCATACTGGCCTTAAATAGTATTTCAGAAGCAGGAGAGAAATGAGCTGAACAGCCCTTTCCTTAGTAAGCAGAATTTCAGACAATGTTAAGAGTGGCACCTGATGCAGTCTGTATAGTAATTCCATAGACCTCTTGGTACTGATACTTAAGGAGGATGGTAAACCTGGGAATACTCGGAAGATTGCCAACCTACCGGTCACATCTGTGCTATATTGAGTATATGATCCAAGGGTGAACTGATTGATCATGACTTGTTTGGGCTGGAGAGGTGAATATTCCCCAGCTCCTGTCTACAAAAAAAAAGACCCTGAGCTTACAGTCACCTGCCACTTCAACACACAACCCTATTCCTTGACCAACATCTGTCTCCGTGCAAGCTGGAAGAACAGTACCTCCTTTTCTGCTTGGAGTTCTGGAGTCTTCTAGACTCAATATCGAGTTCAATAACTTGAGCTCTCCCATGTCCTTACTCCAATCCCCACACACCAGGCCTTGCTATCACTTAGTTTGCTATTACACCCAACCCATTGTTGGTCACTAACAGTCCCCACTAATAGCTATTCACCCTCCCAGCCAGATTGTTATCCACTCCTTTGTCTGTCCAACTGTTATCTCTCTTTGGGTTCTATCCCCACTTATTATTTACTCCTTAACACCACTCCCCCAACCCTACCTTCTGCATATAAACCAATATTTTCCTAGCTACCATCAGTTCAGAGAAAGGGTCACTAGACCCAAAACATTAACTCTGATCTCTCTTCACAGATGCTGCTGGACCTGCTGAGCTTTTTCAGTAATTTCTGTTTTTGATTCTCCAGCTCTTCCTGGTTCATAGGCAGTCTCAGAAAAATGCTCACTTGCTGGAACTTGCAGCTCCTGCCCTGCTTTAGCTACTGGATTTCCTGAGCTAAAGGAAATTCCATGTGGAAGCATTACATTTAAATGGCTGCCAAAATTTGAGGAACCCATGGTCATTGACATATTTACATTCTTGAACTGTCTTTATCAAGCAGGTTAATTTCTCTTCGACGTGTCTGATTTTTGGATTTATGAAGGGAGGAAAGATGATGCCTCTTGTAGATAGTGTGACCACTATCTGGACATTAAAAATCAGAGTTGATCTTTGAAACTAAAGCAAATGGATAGGCTTGTGCTCAGGATGCTGTTATGACCCCGGGTGATGATTCTACTGGACAAGTTCCCAGAATGAAATTTGGCTTGATAGATTTTTAAAATTTTGGTTAATAAGGTGGTCGGTCACAGGAATATAGTCATGTGAATCTGTGTAATTTCTTTAACACCACAATATAATATTAGAATAATAGATTAGAACATGATGAAAGCAAAAAACAATATTTACATATAGAAAATGATTTAGATAAATTTTCAAACTGTGACTAAAGTTTTCAACTTAGTTCCTAATGCTATCAATTCATAGAGATTTAAGTTGTACTTAACTGATTCTCCCCAATATTTTAAATTCACATGCGGAATGTGGGTTGCCCGTCCTTGTTTAGTGTCATAGAATCATTACAGCACGGACACAGACCCTTCAGTTCAACTTGTCTGCGCTGACCAGACATCCCAATCTGACCTAGTCCCGTTTGCCAGCATTTGGCTCATATCACTGTAACCCCTTCCTATTCATATACCCATCCAGATGCTTTTTAAATGTTGTCGTTGTAGCCACCTCCACCGCTTCCTCTGGCAGCTCACTCCACACATGCACCATGCTCTGCCTGAAAAAGTTACCCCTCGGGTCCTTTTTAAATCTTTCCCCTCTCACTTAAACCTCCCCTCTTGACTCCCCAAAATCTTTTCAGCATCTTCAAGATACAAGTCAGGAGTGTGATGGATACTCCCCACTTGTCTGGATGCATGCAACTCCAACAGCACTGGAAGATTGGCACCATCTAGGACCAAGCCTGCACAACA